GGGGGGGGGGGGATACCACAAGACAGTTTGGTTTTATCAACTGAGTTGATAATGTAAATTGGCCACCGTAGAGTTTCTAAAGCTGACGTTTGGAGCGTTGGCCCTTCGACAAAACGAAATCATTCGTAAATGCTGATCTAAGCATATATGTTGAAATAGTTCGCCTGAGAACAAACAAAAAAACTAAATAAAAATTGTCTTCTCCTTCTGGATTGTTCTTTTTTCAAACAAATATAGTTTCTGACGCGCTTTATCTAAAAAACAAGTTTCTATTGCTGTAAAAGGTTAAAATAAAAGTCGAACCTCAATGAAAACAAAAACAAAAAACACAAAAGCTGCTACTTTGTTGGATGAGGAAAGTTAAATCTCAATGATAATATTGCCTTCCTGTGTTCAGTCAATAAAATAACTCAAAAGTCACTTTCTTCATTTCAAGACGAAAAACATAGCAGATTTAACGTTCTGATTAAATCTAATCTTAATTTTGCAGACGACTATTGGCTCAAATAAACTCCGGATTTGCGACACAGCTTTCCCAAAAATAAACGACAGTTAATTTTCTCTTAATCGAGAAAATACACAAGGTAACAAGTGAAATAAAAGAACGTGTATCAAATAACCAAAACATAATGTAATCATAGATCATTTTAACAGGCCTGCGTCAAGATGAAGATAGAAGGGCAAAGGAAATGAATTCAAATTAAGAGGATTTAGAAACACAATCCAATAGTTAATCGCTTATAACACTGCACAAGAAACACGGTAAAAAATATTTTTGAATGATAAGCACAGGAAGTTACGACAGAACGCAGGGGACAGAAAAAATTTCTGAAACACCTTCGCAGTGAAAGTTTCAATACAGTTTAAAGTAGCAGCTCTCAATTATCCCTTCGTAAAATAAAAAACACGAACATGGGAAGGCAACATAGGCTGTTCTAAACGTGCGAGCTGCGCAATTCGGAAGTTAACAAATGCTGATCATTGTTGATGTCCAAGGACTCTTCAAAGACGTACGTTTTTGGCACAAAAATTGAGAACTTTCGTGAGATTACTCATGTTTCCATGGCTGGAATTTCCTAAGTTTGGTGAACTGTTTAACCCTTAACACTGTTACATCAGCATCCATATTCTCCATATTATACTCTTTACATTTCCTTTAGTACTGATTAGGAGAATTCGTTTAACAATCAAAGCTTTTTAGGTTGGCGATCATTTCTTTTATTCTCATAATCTAAATGAATTGAAATGATTCAGCAGTATTATTGTAAGGAGAAATTAAATGCTAGTCACTCTAACAGTTTATAAAATTAACCTATTTGTACCCTTTCGAGTGGTTGGTAAGATTAAGAACACGTAATTAATGAAACCAAAGGTTGGAAAGAGGAAGAACATTCAAATCTGAAAAAAGCATAGTGATACATAAAATTTTAAAAAATTTCTGGGTATCAGCTAAAATGTATTATATCCATAAGGGGTCAAAGGTATCCTAAGTTGGTACGTGAGCGAAGAAACCTTCCGAGTTATTATCGTTAAATCTTAAGACCATAATGAACTGCTAGAGCATCTGGTAATACGTCAATGGGACTGATTAATCCGCTTACAAGTCGGAAATATAGATCGATAATTATAAAGACTACAGGCAAGGAATTGTGCCAAACTAACTCTTGTTCCAGAAATAGCTTTTGTTTTCTTAGCAACAAATTTCTGCTTCTTTATTTATCGATGTCAAGTTTCGTAGTAACAATATTTGTTCAGAATAACTTATTAAGGAGATTAGAGGGAAAGGGCTAAGAATTCTATTTAAATCTTTTTTCCCCATGGTTAACGAGTCCTTTACTTCAAAAAGGCAAGAGTATTTCACTGTTAAAAAAAAATTTGGTGAATAAAAGGCCACATCTAAAACAGGATGACATCTGACCGTGTTTTATCACGAAAGCAACCTCATTAAACCATTTCTATGCTGATCAAAGCTACTTTAGTTACCAGTTGATATATAGCAATTGATATAAGATATATAGCCTGTAATTACGTTATATCACATCATCTTGAACGACCATACAGATTGAAAAAATAATGCACGTGTGAAAAGCTTATATGTAAACCGAAAGGTGACCTCTTCTCTTGGTGTAAATCCTCCTCAGTTATGGAGCAAGTTCTCACAGAGGTTGAGAACAAATCAACACACAAACCAAGCCATCAAGATGTTTTGCCAGTCCTACACAATCGTAAACAACCCACTACCCCACTCCCGTAATATTTCGGGACTAAAATATCATCTTTAAGTGAAATTCATCCGATTTCCTTCAAAAACACTTTCGAAGATCTATTGAAACGTTTAACCCATTTGTTCCTTCCTTAGTTGCTCTAATAAAACAAATATGTGAGACCAATGGTAAGATAAGGGTAAGGGTAGTAAACTGTCGTTGTGGCTCCAAGTTCTCGTCCTCAGAATAATCGGCAAAACAGATTTCACATTCTATGAAAATTTTAAAAGAATGCATCGAAGTTAAGTCAAGATTAACAAACTTCATTTTGTAAAAGATGGTCCGACCCTTCGTTCCAGTATTGTTACAGGTGTTCGTAAGTTCCAGTGAGATATATCAAACAAAGAAAACTTGCGCTTTTGAAGTGGAAGGCTTTCTAGCTTAGATTGTGAAAATGCTTACCTACATTTTTCGGGAGTTGCTTTTGTACAACTACAATAGTTCTAACGAAATAAGAATCTTGACAAACACAGAGGAAATAATTGCGTTATGTTTCTATGGCCTCAGAGCAGAACTCCCCCGCAAAAGACACTTGAGTAAAATTCACGCCAGTTCACAGGTCTCTCGGGGTCATAAAACACAAGTAGAATCATTTCCCGATATTCCCACGCATTGTTCCGCTTAAACCTAATCGGAAATTCTTATATATTTCGAAGGAGGAAATTTGTAATGCAACGACCAATTATCCACGCGAAATAGAAAATGAAAACTGAATTTACATTTTACGCCAGTCGCATCGACGCAAACGACCAAATTATCCACATGAAATAGAAAATGAAAACTAAATTTACATTTTACGCCAGTAGCATTGTCACAAACGACCAAATTATCCACGTGAAATTGAAGACAAAAAACTGAATTTACATTTCCCGCCTGTCACATTACCAGACGTATCATTTAGGGAGTTCCAGCCTTCAGGCTGTTTCCCGTGACAGCGAAGCATTCAGGAAAAGGCGTTTGACTTTTAAAAATTTCGGCGTGCGAGAGAGGGATTTTAACACCAATATTCAACAACAATAACAAATAGGATCTTACAAATAGGCGAAGTCTACTGCACTTTATATCAGAGAGAGAAGTTAGGAACCACCTGGTTCGATGATCTGAACAGACCAAACAAAAAGCCTTTCTGTATAAACCGGTTAAATTCACCGCCTTAAATAGGAGAGAATACTGTAAAAGCAAAGGCAAGCCAATTTAAAAAAGTTGGCGATCCGAGGGAAAAAGCAGAGACAATCTCTTGTTAAAACATTTAACGACCGCCAAACAGATCATTTACTTAGGATATAACAAAAACATCCTCGACTAATGAACAAAAGATTATTTAAGAAACAAATTTTGACCCTTCCTGTTTTTTAAAACTATTCCGGAGATCTCGTCTCAAAAGGTAGACTTCGAGCCAGTATGATGCTGTAAATACCAGTTTGAAACATCATAAAGGATGAGAGTGCATTTCCATCCCCGCCACCGCAACTCGCCACCTCCTAGCAACGACTATAAACTTGTTTTTCCTAAGGCTAAAATTGACATTACGGGGTGGGAACCCGGAAAATTAAGTAATTGCATTACACAACCAGCCATTTTAATTTAACAGGTAATAACTGCGAAAATTTTTTATTCAGCCAATAGTTGACAAACCTCTCGGGAGATTTTCCGTTTCAGACAAATATTTGCGATAATTATTTCGACGCGCCCCCGTGCGAAAATTGCAAACTTTCTTGTCTAACGAGCAGAATATGTGGAACTCGGACAATAATTATTGAATAAAGTTAAATTTACTTTGTAATTATTTGGAACTCTTCTGTAAATGTCACAGAACTTCTCTAATCACGAGCGAAAATCTCGATTTGAAACAAAAGCTAAGAAATTGTGAAGGAACTCTCAAGAAAAAGACGTCATTTTTAAACTCCAATAACACTACAAAGCTGGAAATTCTGAACCAGATATTACAAAAATAAACGCATCTCTGGGAAAAAAAATACTTACATTAAAACTAAAACAGACTAAGAAAAACGGGAACGATGGACAATATTGTTAAAAACAAAGAAAATGATTGAATTTTATGGTTCATTTTTTGGTGTAAAAGCCACTAACACTAAAATACGATTTACACGTGGCAGATAAAGCACTAATTTCCAGCTACACACACTCAAGATTAATATTGGTGTACTTCACAGCAAATTATTGACAGGATGTATAAAAAAAAAAAGGAGAAATTTTGTGTAACAATGAAACGGAAAGGTGTTATGCCGAGGTTGACAAAAAAAAACGTCTTACTGAACTTTTATCTCGCTCAAATCTGGTTTGAAAATCCAACAAGAAATGAGACGTCATATCAAATACAGGGATTTCCAAAAGACTATTGTCTTTAATCTTATTTTAATGGTCTTTAATTCTTTATTTTTCTTTTTTGGCTTTTTCCTTTCACGATCGACCAAAGAATTCGACATATCACTTTCACAGTAGATGTGTCGAGGCTTTTTAGCGCATGAATATTTCTGATGACGAACATTGTTGTTCTCCCTGCACAAAGTAGTATAGAAAATTAAATAGTATCCTGCAAAAGCCTCCTCAATGGCTGCACTCCACAGCGCCCTTCGAAAACTCATTTTGTCTTTCAGTTTCAGCAAAAGAAGTTTTATTTTAAATCATTATTATCATTACTGATTCATTTTTTCTTTTCATTTTTTTTCTAGTACACAAGAAGCAACCTTGAGGCCAAACGTTAAGCTGGCGATTGAAAAGCTGTGTTGTGCACAGTGAAGTTTTTCAGTGAGTTTCCTTTTGAAGATTGGTAGGATTTTGCGTTTCGCACTTGAAGAACAATCTTTTGCGGTTCGAGATGAACGGCATTTCTGCTGGGAACTATTTCGTTGATTTTTGGTTGAAACAACAGAGCACAAGGAGAGAGGAGATACTTCATATCATCCTACCAGTCGACTTATTAATTTAATTAAATTTAATCAAATTTGCGGTGCTTTCTTGGTATTTTCAAAATTTTTCATTATTTTTTCCTCAGGAACTTATCATCGAAAAGTGTGCACAATCTCCCTAATCCACACAACTCAAATTCGCAAAATTTTTGTGAATGTGCGTTCCGTTACGAAGGTTGAGAGTACTCGAAGCATTGTGCACGAGTCACCAATTTATCCTTCACTTCAGCTCAAAATTCGCAAAATTTTTATGAATGATTCGTTCTGTTTTGAACGTTGGGATTACTCGAAACTTTGATTCTTCTGCATTATGCACGAGTCACCAATTTATCCTGCACTAGAGCTCTACACTGCTAAGACTCTACTGAAGTTTTACCTCAGTTACGGCTAGTACCGTCTCGTCTCAAAACTGCCTCTGCTTCTCTTCCGCTAAACCGGGCTTCATTTACTTCTTCTAAAGTAGCGGATACTTTATCTTCCTCCTTTTGTCTTTGATCAAACCAAGACACGATCACTTATATCTGTTTCAACCGGGTTAATGGCATGCAAATCTATTTAACGACCTTCCTTTATTGCTTAAGGACTGTTTGCCAAACAAAAGGTCACCCACATATTGCGCAAGTTTCCCTTTAGCTGGGTTTTACGATGGGAACGCGTTTAAGATACGTTAGACGTACTTTTATTTACATCGTTGTTAATAATTACTAAGCTTACGTTAAAGATGTACCAAGAAAAAAGGCAAAAGTTACAGATGGGAAGATGCCGACAACAAAACTACTTAGATTCACAGACATGGTTTAATACTACCTTGGAGAAAGATCAAGGCCCGGATTGTGTTCGTATTTGTCTGATGCGATTAAGTGCTTCCGCAAATTTATTTTGTAAATATTTCTTTGAAGTGATGGGAAAAACGCCAAATCGGCGACAAAATGTCCTGAGGCGAAGTTCCTAATTTCCGACAATTTACATAGTTACAGATCAAGGAACACTCTTTCTTAAACTAAAAAAAACTTGGAGTTGATTATAAGAAACTGTTTGTTCGATCAAATAGTCGCTTATTATGTCGAGACTTAACTAGTAATAGTAAAAAAAAATCCCCATTGAAAAGGCACGTGCCACAAATATATTATCGTATCAGCAAATAAATACTTTTATTGCAAAATAATGCTCAAGGGATTTTAATGCTGACTGACGTCAAATAAGATTTCACGCGATTTCTTACACCGTTTTTTGGTTCAATCAATGACGAAATTTTATTGAATTGATTTATGTTTGGTTTGTATCAATACAACGGGGATAAACATTTCCAAGAATTTTTTCTGTATATACTGCAGCCAGGCAAACCCAACGAATAATTCATTTCATTAAATTCAAAGTCCAGTTGCGGAGAAAAAACACACTTAATCTAATTTTTGATCAGCCTCTAATTACAGTCATAAACAAGATTACTGAATAAGGATTGGTAATAAAAGTATTATCTTAATGAAGGCATTATGTGAATATTTACCCGGGAAAGTCTAAACCTGGACTAACTGTCGGCTCTCCGGTAATGTTAAAAGTTTAGAGTGATAATAATCATGATCATAATAACAAAAATAATAGCAACAATAACAATAGCAATATTATTGTAGAAATGACATTTTAGTTCTTCCATTTCCTTTTAACAATTTCTTTGAAAATCAATTATGTTACATATAAGCTATCTTATTGTGCAAAGACACAACATCATTATTATTTGTTCACGTTAATAGTGGCTAAACAGTAAAAAATTGTGCATCCGGTGAATCCTTTACACTTTAACATCAGTTTATGCATAATCTCCGTTTTATTCCCTACCCAATTGTTATTGTACTGACATGGATGATTTTTTAACGACCAATAGTTTCTTTTGTCGGCGATCATTTCATATATATTCATGACCCTAATATTTGATTCAGCGAGGATATAGCAAAGATAAATTAGATGCCAGTCATAACCTATTTGGTGGCACATAGCTGTTGCACTGACATGGATAATTTGTTTAACCATCAATAGCTTCTTTAGATGGCGATCATTTCATTTATATATAAATGACCTTAATGTTTGTCTCAGTCATAGCCTATTTGGCGGTAAATAACTTTTTAGGCTATCAGAGGAATTCTCTTGTCGCATAAGAATCCACTTACCCGTGATTATGTGCTTGATCCCGGCGAACTCAGCCCAGGCGCGTTCTTGTTAGACAAATCTGTCCTCTGTTTGCCATACTGAATAATCACTGGTTTACCCTTAAACATGAAGCCGTTCACCTGATTCAAGGCTTTATTCGCTGTGTCGATGTCTACAACCGAACCAAAAAACCAAGAGAGGAATTGTTCATTGGTTAAAAAAAAAAAAAAATACTTAGAGTGAGTCCCCCCAGTCTCGTGTAAAGCATCGTAGGTAGATTTCAAAGAAAAATAACCAGTCTGCAGAACAACAAAAACTTCAGCCTTAAAAAAACTCTTTACGGTGGCAGATTTACATTATCAACTCAGTTGACGCAGCACCACAGTTTCTTCATAAACTTGTCCCCCTTACAACTGGTTTAGGTTTTCATAGAAAAAAGATCATCGCTGTCATATGTACCACTATAGAAGTCTTGAATACAGAGCCTAAGAAATTGAACTGCGGAATAAAGAATGTTGAATTGATGCAAAAGCATCACGAACCTTGAAGAATTCGTCTTCTGAACAAACCTCACCTGGCATAGTCACAAACGCTTGTCCAATCATCTTTCCCTTCATAAGTCTGAAAGTAATTTTAGGTCCCTCTTTGTCCTGAAATCTTATAAACAGAGAGACCAAGTCTGCTTCCGTTGTCTTATGATGCAAATTCTTTATGAATAGGACCTACGAAATATCAAAATAACCGTCGGGTATTTTAGATCAAATTCGTGACAGGTCAGGCTCCTGTGTGGCGACCAACACTACTGGTAGGCTACAAGAGTGTTTGTAACTGACTGTAGCTAGCTGCTAATAAGAAAGTGAAAAAAATAACAAATAATTTTTACTCGAGTGTCGAAAGTAATCCAAAACTGCGTTGGCTCTGCTGTACTACGCTGTGTTATGGGTTTAGAGATCTCGAGCCACTTTCTCAAATTTAAGTCAGAAAACACCAAATTTTTTTTTTCTTACACCATATGCTAAGAAATTTCGCCAGACAAGTGCTAACGAGTTCTTGATATTGAGCAGTTTCATGCCATCCTGTTGTTGCAAGAATTTGGGTGTCAGACGAGCGGCAAAAGACCCACAAGTCTGCTAAAGGGTTTTGAATCCCCCGCACCCTTTGCCTAAATCTACCACGTACTATGGTGCAAGGTGCGTCCTACTACTAAACGACGTTGCACATACGTTCTATCCAGAAAACTCAATGTAGACTTGAGCACTTCCAGAAGTAAAAACCACTCATAAAACTTACAGATAAACTTACAGATACCTTGTTTGGTTCTCCTGGGTGAAAATTTGCAAATTTTGGAATCTCCTTTATTTGCTCTACCGACAGTCTATTTTGAAGAATTTCTTCCTCTTCAATAGGTTTAATGTTATCAGGCAAGCGGGTATCACTGCTGTCGTTGTTTTCCAGCGACCCTCTTTTGACCAATGAACTTTGACTGGAATTATCACTGACTTCTACCAAACGTTCACTGGCTCGCTCTGGGCTGTTGGAGGACGGTAATTTTCGTTTGGATTTTGACAATATCTGATCCGCTTCCATTAAAGTTTGCAAGAGTGGATCATTCACATGAATGGCTGAAAGGAAGGATATGAATATCAGAGTAACAATAACCAATGATAGTTTTTACGAAATGTAGCTGAGTTGTGGAACGGGAGGGGAGGGGACATAGAGGGTGAGAATAGCTCCCTTCCCGTACCCAGTCTCTCGTCTCTTACACCTCTGACTCCCGTCTCCTGCCCTTTGAAACACTTCAGCTTAAAGATTTCCAAAATGTTCGCAATTTGAGATTTTTCCTTACTTTTTACCTCACAAAGTTCCAACAGTCCCATGTTTCATCCAGTTACAACAGACAAGCCCACCTTGTTTCCTTGGTTGCACCAGATGGCTCAAACTGCTCCCTTTTTCCGTTCCCCTGTGAAGTGACTGTTCAACTTCCAAAGCATGCCTGCTCAGAACTCGCACGTTGGAGAATAATTCTGGAGAGGACAAGGCCTCCTCTCGCCTTTGGATTCTTTTCTCCAGCTCATGCAGCTTTTCTTGCTCAGCAACAGGATTGGCACCATATCGACCTATTTTGGGAGCCTGTGCAATCAATTAACAGGGTGTTAAAATGAGCAAAGACATCACAAATGGACTGAAAAAATTGTCAACCAAAGAAAATTCCTGCCCAAGAAGTTTATCTGAGCTGACTTAACTCTCTACACCCTACCATCAAAATGGAACTTCTCCATACTGTTCTTTAGACATTTCCTATAGCACTTACTGGGAGAATTCATCAAACAATCAATAGCTTCTAGCGTTTCTGAAAACCTATTTTATCCTCATGAATGACCTTAATGTTTGATTCATAGGTAACACTGTGGGGAGGAATTTGATGCTTGGCACTCTTAGGCGCTGAAGGGTTAATGATTTAAGCAAGCTTTTAACAACTTTTTATCTCTTGAGTGTGTTTGCTTTCCTTTGTTTTCTACCTCCTCTTCAGTTTTGTGGCTGAATTGTAAGTTAGACTTGCAGGCTGTGACCTCTGTGGGGTATAAGCGGCCCAAATATCCTTGTGCAAACAGAGCTCACCTTTGTAATATAACCTGCTCACCTTTGTAATATAACCTTCTCTCTCCAGTTTGAACTGGATTTCTTCTTCATTGAAGCCACACTCTTTAAGGGTCTGGACATACTGTTCATGATTCTGTAACAACTGATAATCTTTTAAACTCATTGCACCAGTTTTATCAGGACAAAATGGTTTGTAGGATGAAGAGGATTGAAATGACCTTTTCCTGTTCAACTCACTAACACAAAATGAAAAAAAAAATCAAATAAACAATAATAAGAATATTATTATTGCAATTTAGAATGATACTCCATTTCACATTTTGCATAAAACCAATTGTCACCTCTCCATAAGTAACTGAGCCTAAACAAGTTTGGTCCAGGCTATGGATACTGCAAATAGTCGTGGTTGGTATATTGCTTTACATTTGCTTAACTTATAATGACAATCAGAGGTTGTTGTTTTTTCTATGACAAAAAATTAACTTGCATAGACAAAAGTCTACAGCCAATTTCTAACTGGAGAAAAAATAGTGGCAAAATGATGAGTATGGCATTTCTCCCATAGTAAGACAGAGGGCTGAATTTGTGTAACACTGCCAACACCTCCATTATCCTGCTCTACATGTTCAATTAGTAAAATGGAGAAGGACAGGTTACATACCCAAAGCAATTTTCTTTTTCTTTTTTTTTTCCCCATACACTACTATCATGCCAATTACTATCACCCTATCTCATTAACTAAAGGCCTGGAACAGGCTGCACCTCAATGAAAACCATCTACACTATGCATCCCCTTGTGTGAATTTGAAAATGATGTCCCAGCCTCTCAGCTGATAAAAACCACCCAGTCTTCAGTCTAACAATGTACATGACTAGCTCACTCACATGGATATAATACTTTCACTTACCACTTTTTCCTTGTAATAATTCTAAGCCAATCATTATACTGTGGATTAATATCATGTAGTATAGTCCTTGGTTTATTGTTTACCTTTCAAGAGTAACATTGGTTTCAAGCTGATTCTTCACCATACCCCTCAGGTGTTGATCAGCCTCAGACTCTGTCCCAGACCCTGGGACTCCAAGACGTTGATCCTCAAATGGTTTGGAGTCATTCCTGTTCATACGAATAACTCCACGGCTCTGGTAACGAGATGGATTTCCACTGATACAAGACATAACAGATACAATAATTAACTATAACCAGATGCACTTTTTCTTTCCTTTTCAAAAATGAAGGTCTGATCATGCAAAAAAGAAATTTGCGTTTTGCTTCAAATAATATTCTTCTAATGTTAAGTTGCATTCCACCTCAGATCTGTCAGAAGATGATTCTTGTGAAAATATCCATGAAAAGAAAACTTAGTGATCCAATGATGAACCAATAATTTAACTTGACAATTTAGAAATATCATGAATTCTCCGTATCTTGCAATGCGCTGATACCAAATTACCATATTTTGTAGGCTTAGCTTAATTAAACAACATCTATTTAATTATGACGTATTTGAGCTCACTAACTCTAGTAACAGCCAGTTTTCACTCATGAATGGGTCAGAGCTGTGATCAGAAGTATAGAATGATACAATGCAGTGAAAGTCACACCAGCAGAATCAGAAACAATATACTGGTGGTGCTTGTAAATACAAATAGCTACAGGTTTACTGCTCTTGGAAGGCCTGAGAGCTGATATTTTGAGTAGCCAGTCAGTTTTTCTAATTTTGCAGCCAACCTTTTCAATATTAGTTTTCACTCTATCAGATAAGCAATTAACAGTCGTAAGTAGAATTGGAGGAAAAATGGAAACATTGTGATTCTTTTGACTCTGATCATTCGAATCTTTCTTTTACTCTTCACTTACCATGGAATTCCAGTCTGTTCATATGAGGTTGGATCTGGCTTAAATGGTTTTCCACTGACTAAAAGTTGTAATAAGACATACTTAAGTTTAGAATGACAATGGGAAATGCTTTAACCCTTTTAACCCTTAAACTCCCATAAGTGACCAAGACAGAATTTCTCTTTACAATATCAATACAACATCAAGCAGACAAGTTATGAGAATAAAGAAAAATATCAATTGGGGAATTATAAGTTGATCCAATACCAAATTCTCTGAATTAACATCATGAGAATAGTATAGCAGATAGTGAGAAGAATTACTAATGAGATCTTGGGAGTGAAAGGGTTAAAATTTTCATCATCACCTCTAAATAAGTACCTTCACATCCCCTGTTTTCATGGAATATTAGGGAGACATTTGCAGTATTGGCTATGTTTATAAACTTTAATCAGGAACTGCACATTTTAAATCAAGACTTGTCACTGTTTTAAAAATTTTAGTTTGGGAAGATAATTACAAGCATCAACAGTGCCACTATGAGACGTGGAACACACTGCTTATGATACTGTTTAGAAGCTAATGGTTTTTACAGAAGAAGATCTAAGTGGGAGAATCAAATAAGTACCTGCCTTCTAGTCTGCACAAGATCTTGTGCGCACAAAGGCAACTCTGCCGTGTGAAATGTATGGTAATAAAAGAAATTATCGCACGTGCATCTGCCATACTCTGCAGACAGGCCTGCCTTCATATATGTAGCCATAATACCCATCTTATACTTAAAATTTTTAAGAAAGAACCCCACACATTTAATAAAGGATTTAAGGTAAATTTACAGGGGTTTTATATCAGGTGCCCATGATGAAGGTAACTCTCTTGACCCCTTGGGCACTAAGGATTTATTTGAACACTTGAACATCGAAGGTGATCGATAATTTAGATCCGATGGTCATGCTCAATTGTTCAAGAGTTCATCTGCTTTCAATAGCAATCTCAGAATGCCTGTTATGATACTGTGCCTAAAGTGTCTTCACCTTGTCATTGAACTGAAGCAAGCCAGCGGAAAAAATAAACTTCTTTTTATCGCTGCTACGTTCCCTAATTAATACCGAATTAATTTAATCTGAAACTAAGTAAGTTGAGTATAAAAATTAGCGGCTAATATGGTCGACTAATAAATTCTTCATTTTACCTGATCCTCCAACCATCTTTAAATCGTCTGAAAAATTACCGTTGGGATGAAATAAATCGTTTTAGGTTTAAATGTATATAACATGAAAAAGTATCACTATTCAACATCAAATCGGCCATCTTGGAAAAGTAATTGCAGGGATCTGGGCATGAATATCTCACGAAGGGGCTTCAATAAAGAACTCTGGGACTGCAATGGCGGCTATGTTAGTCAGTCGTGTCCTGTTGCCTCAAAGGCTTTCTCAGCATCTTCCTAAGGTTCCGTGGGTCAGAATGTTAAGTTCTGACGCTAATGATAATGGAGAAAAACCAAAGATATCAGTGGAAGGCCACACGCCCACCCTCTCTGATTTAAAAGAAACACTCAAGGGAATAAGTACAGAAGCAAGCCGGCCAGTTGTGCAAGAAGTGAAAGGAGAAAAGGAAAAAGTTGTAAAAAAATCATTTCTAGAGATTCTTGTTCCCAAAGTGTCACAAACTAAGGGAGCGCTGATGAAAGGAAAAGAAAATGGAATTGCAAAGAAGGGCGAGGGAAAAATTTCAGTCGGTGGTATCCTTTCCTTCTTGGCGAAACCCTCACAAGAGCCTATAGGGAACAAAAGTCTGAAGAGTATTCGAGAAAGGTCATTGGGAAATGCTAGTGAGCTGAGAAAAAGTATTATGGGTGATAAAACGAATGTCAAATTTCCAGCATGGGAAGGAGAGAGATCACAGTGGATAGAAAAGAGCCTCGAGGACTTCGAGAAGGCACAGACCAACTCGACTACTGCTAAGGCACAAAAAACTGATCCCAAGCTGAATGAGAAAATCAAAAAGGTACTGTCAGGACTACAGGTGGGACCTCAAAAGAGTGGAACAGCTGAGAGGCTTGTTGCGGCAGCGGAAAACTGGGGTAAAACCCTCAACACTCGAAAGAGATTGATTCAAGAGGAATACTTACAGCAAACCACACAGAATTTGTCAGAGGCACCAAGCTGGGTGTCATTTGACGAGGGCGAGAAGACTGGGTTATTTGATAACGTCTTCAAGGAGGCAAAACACGGAAAGTTGAACCCCATCTCTCAATCTGATTTTTTGTTCCATCTCTTCGTCACAAACAGGTTCCAGACCCAAGAGTCAGTAGGAGTGTTGAGGAATTCATTCAGTGAACAAGTGAGGCTTTCCAACAGGCTCTGGACATACCCAATAGACAATGAAGTGTGTAACTCAGTAGAAGAACAGAACACCAGTTTTGAAGAGCATGTATTTCTGGAGTACTTATTGGATGAGTTTCCTAATAAAGGTCCAGTTCGCCGTTTCATGGAATTGGTCATCAATGGATTACAGAAAAATCCATTTTTGACTGTAGCACAGAAAAAGGAAAGAGTTGGATGGTTTCATGATTATTTTGCCAATTTTTCTGAAGAGGACCTTAATTTCTGAGAGTTGAATGTTAAAATCTCAATGTAATCTCGCTTTTGCAAGTAATGTATTAATTACCTTCAAGAACACAATTTGTTTCAGCCCTGTTTCAAGAAATTAGAACTTACCATTTGATGTTTGTAGCCTTGTGGTAACTGTGTCGTAGGTGTCAGAGTGCTATTTATTATAATTTTTTTACCCAAGTACATTTTTTTAACTACTGGTAGTCATTTTCAAGGTGCATAGATAGAGCTGCACTCAGAGACTGGAAAATGGACTTGTTGACGATGGATTCGAGCAACTGTCGCAACATTTTTGGATGAGATCTTTCAGTATTTGAAGGAAGTGTGCACTCACATGAACATAATAGTTGAGAGACCAAGACCAAGACCAAGACCACTGTTTTTGTAATGAGGCTTCAAGTAAGAAATTAAATGAAGATGAACCACAGTTAACCTTAATGCATTCATTGGAATAGGGGCACTTCTTGGAATACGGGTGCTTATTCAATAGGGCCATTAGCAAAAGCAAACTTGGAGGGGGCACATTTTAGTGAAAGAGTGCATTTTGGAAGGAGAGCACTAAATGGAATCATTATTGTAACAGCAAATATCCCTTAACTAATAACTAAGCTTTACCCTTTGTACACTCATCAGGCAACAGAAAGTGTTGAGAGTTACATTGTATATCCACAAAAGAGAGAAAGAAAAAATAAGTTTAACAAGGAGGTTGATTTAATACATTTAATATAAATGCAATCACAAAATTTCCTATCTGGAAAGTTAAAGTAATTATACATAAAAACTAATAGACATACACCAAAATGGGTTTCTCACTGGCAAGTGTTTGTTAAAAAAAAAAAAACGTAAATTTCTAGTTAGAAAAAAAAAAAGGAATTCTGATCAAGATTTATATGATGGTTTAAAAATTTTATTAAAAAAAAATATTTCCTAACACTTAATTAGCAACCTGCCACCTTCACTGCCTCTTACACAGCTGCTTGGAAAAATCCTTTTGTTAAAACCAACATCTAAAACCTTTAACTCCCATGATCTGATTGTTAATTCTCCCTTCAGCTGCTCGATATTTCCTTGTAAATTAGTTACAAGAACTTGGTTGAGATAAAATCCTTAACCTGATAAGTTTGAGTTCATTACCTGTTTTCTAGATAACGTGTGAATATTATAGGGAGAGGTTACATGTTAATCACTTCCTGGAGTTGAAGTGTTGAGACTTGCATGAGATGCTAATGCAAGAAATCAAGATTACATCACTTTTAAAAAAAATGTAATATTTGACAATAAATTTGACAAGTGTTGTTGATCAGTTCCAACTAATAATAACCTTACTATGTCACAGTAAACTTGACTTAAAAATTTGGATTTTTACTTTTTTTTTTAACAAATCCATCATAAAGCATATATAAATAAAACCTGTTCTGTTAAATTTTCTCACTGCACATTGTGTTTCTTCTTTTCTTATATAAAGGTCTAGCCTCACTTTCATGAACATGTTATCTACTCTATGAAATCTTGGGGGAAGCTGCGAGATTCTCTATAATGACAGGTAGGTGACATAGCTTCTCCTTGATTGGTTCTGGTAATCTGTCTGTGTGATTGTATCTGAAAAAATAAATAGTACCATCTTATTTCAATACAAAGGAGGACTGAAGAGAAAAATACCTTAATGTCTGCACATTTACCATACCTTTTAAAAGCAGACCAAAATTAGTGTAATGTAAAGATACAGGTCTATTGTAAAAATCAGAAAATAGAAGTCTGTTACAATACTTGAGCAATGAAAGACATATGCCAGACTAAGTGCTTATTGGTTTGGGAAAGTGTTGTATTTCACTAAAAATACTCCTGAACAGCATATATAATACCTCTGATGAAGGTTCCAATGTTTGAAAGGCCATTTGCTTTTTTTCTCTTTCTGTCTTTTTTTTTTTTAATTTTCAAGAAAATATTTTTTGAAAGAAAATAGTTTTCCTTGGAATCACTCTTAAATTAAAGGAAGAACCCAGGTAAACAGTAACTTAAAATGTACAGCATAAGAAGCTGGCCCAATCCACAAGCCACTAAATGAATTTTACAATGAACAACACAAAGTATCATTACCTTGTTATCATTCCACCACTATCTGTGTACTTGATACTTGTCACAGATGACTGAATGATCATCTGGGAGCCATCATTATACTGCACCCAAACCTCCCCACTGAACAACTAAAACAATCAAAGAACAATTTGTGATCAGTTTTCATTTGAGTGTCAGAGGTAATCAAAGATTAGATTGGCTTTGCTTTATGCCTTTTATGCCTTTTTCTCAACCGATTAGAAGAAAAATCAAGAACAATATGGAGTTGTTCACCCTCCACTCTTGAGCCAATTGGCCTATTTCTACTCTCAATTAGAGTTGTATTGACTCCTTGTGCTATTTAATATTCCTTTGTTCAGATCAGCTATTGTAATTACTTTGGTTATGTTCTCATGAAGCACTCTGGGCCCAGCTGATTAGCACTAACCCAAGGTTAAATTTTAATGCAGGTTTCTTTAATTTCTTTGTTCAAAAGCCTGTTTGGGATACTTTTCTCTATTCTCTTAAGAACATCCATTCACAACACGGTAGACAAAAAAATTATACTTTTCTTTTAAAGCTTTCAGATCTGAAATCAATTTCACACCAATCCTGGGTTATCTTGACCCAGCTTTGAACAATCTGGCTCTGGATAATAATATAATAATATAATAATATAATAATACTAGATCAGATTTGCAATGATAGAGAATTGCAAGCTTTAATTTGTCTAAGCCTTTTCTAAATCTTAGCTCAGTAAGTAGTAAAAATGTGACAACCTGGCAGGTAAAACAAGGCAAAAAAGAGAGGAAGATAAGAACAGTTTGCCTCCTTGCTTCATTTTTTCACCTTCCAATGTTTTCATTGGTTACTAATAACCACAAAATATTTCAAGCTTGTTTCATAAATCACAAAAAATCTAAGTAATTATTTCTTAGATTTTTCTTCAAAATATGTATATATGTACAGTCAAGTAGAATATAGGGGTAAGTTTCTAAAGAAACTGTGGTGCTGCGTCAGTGGGAGAGTAACTGAGGTAATTTAGTGTTAACAACTGAGTTGAAAACGTAAATTAGCCACCGTAAAGGGTAAAAAAGCTGACGTTTCGAGCATTAGCCCTTTGTCAGAGCGATCGCATTGGGTTAGTACTAATTGGCTGTTTTCAACTCAGTTGTTAACATTAAATTACCAAGTAGAATATAGCTTACCTGTGATGCCCAGCCAACTCCTTGAACAAACACACTTTTGATGACTTGTGATGTTGAGTCCTGCCTTGACACACCCCTATCTGTTAGCTCACTCTTTTGGTTTCTTGCTTCTTGTCCACACTGAGATCTGGAGATCCTCTGCAATTCACTACCATGAGGTGCTGTCCTGTTGTCAACTCTTGTATTTTGCCCTGCTGAAGACTGTCTTGAATTGTGGATGGTGCTGGCAATGGTGCCATCAAATGACATCAGAGATGTTGACACTGGTGCTATGGTGCTAGGAGATGTCACAGTAAGATTTTCAATGGAGTCTGGACGCCTGAGAAAGAACAAAGAATGAATAAAGACTTGTTGGATAAATTTTGTGCAATTTAGTTTAATGAAACATCTTTCACTAATTTGAACATCACTGTGAACATAATTCTATCATTTTCCTTCTGTTTCTATTTTTGTGTTCAGCATTACATTTAGCAGTTTCTCAATTCATCTCAAGAGTAAATGTATTTATCTTCACTAGGTACTCATTTTCAAATGTAATTCATAACTACAACAGTTTGATTGTGATTTACTTTTGCTAAACCACAAATACCCAAACAACAACAAAATACAAATTAAAAATATCAGATCAAATGTATTGTTCTTACCTGGTAGAATTATGATCTTCAGAATGAACATTACTCTCCTTTGGTGGCTTCCTGGATGCTGGTGGCCTACGGCACACAATAAATGGAAAGTACTGTCCCCCATTGCTGTCTAACTCTTCCTTGCTGATCAATCTCTCTAAATGAACACATTGCTGATAACATTTCTGAGCGTGTTCTAACAGTGGTTTCATCTCCTGGGTAGCACCTTCCACTCCACCAACAGACTCTAAAGTGTATGACACTCCTCCAGGCTCTATGATGCGTGTGCATTGATGAGATTGGTGGATTTTGGCCCCTGTGTAATAGTACTGATACATTTAGCACCAAATAGTCTTGTCTAAAATTTCATCAACTGAAGGGAATATAGGTGAGACTGAAAAGAGAACTCTGTTTTAAAATAGAAATAAAACTTGCCATAAACCTTAATCCCTTGCCACAATTTTAATTTATCCTACATGTGTAAAACTATCATTACATATGGTAATCTAAATGATACATAAAATAACCCAATCTTGGTGCAAAGTCTCAATTTTGGGAGAGATAAACAATGTTCAGAGTTCACCTACATGTAGTAGGTTGATTGTCCAAAACATTTACAGTATTTCCACAATCCTTTAGTAATACACATGGGCCTGGGAAACCCAGCCACGAGTAAGACACTTTACATCATTATTGTTATTAATTTTTCTATGATCATGAAACTTTATATATTGATTTCAGAGCTCTTACTCTGGCTGAAACCTGAATGAAGTTCACTGCAAAGATGAATGGTGAGATTAGGGGTTTTTGAAGGTCTGCCTAGCATTTTTGCTTCATCACAGGTCCCATCTTACTTCTGGAACAATTGACCTAAGAATCTCATAAGCAGTTTATTCTCTAACAACTTCATTCTGCTTCACTTACCATTATAAAAGCACACTTCAAAGTCTGGATGAGGAGAATTTTCCATCAACATGCACTTTGCATGTTTGGAATACATGGTAACCTAAAAGATCATTGAATTTTCTTAAGTGTCACTGGGCAATTATTATATTAGACATTGTGCAGGAGGAAAATGAATTGAACTTTTCCTGTCCCTCCCCTCCCACCCTTCTGTGTTGCAAAACCTATTTGATGATACCCAAGAATTCTTAAACCACAAGGTAAGGTGCTAAAAGCCTGTTAACTCAGTCTCCCTAAGTCCTTGACCCCTTCACTCCCAAGATCTTATTGGTAATTCTCCTTAGTCTCTGCCATACAATTCTATTGATTTTAGTTCTGAGAATTTGTTATTAGATCAATTAATAATTGATATTTCTCTTTATTCTCATCATTTCTCTGCTTAATATTGTATGGATATTGTGAGGAGAAATTCTGTCTTGGTCACTCATGGAAGTTAAAGGGTTAACCCTCTTACCCCCAAGAGTGACTAGTCTTACAGTATCACTGCTGAGTAAAAATTACCATCACCAGCATGAAATAAATGATCACCCACCCCCTGACAATTTTTCAGGTTTCTCTCACACTTTGCTTGTATAAATCATTTGAGAACTTCTGGTAGAATTGAAGTACTATAAGGTTTACAATACAATGGTGTTTGTTTACTCTGACCTCTTGACCAGCAGCACAGAACACTAAACATAACTTCAATCCAACAAAACTGACTTATTATTGCCACACTCCGTATTCATTGTATACTTCAAAAAAATATATAAAATTAATATATATGAAGAAATTTAATAATTTTACGCTTTCCACAAACCTTTGGTGTCTTTTTGCGCACAAGATGGACAAAGTTAGTGGCATACTG